GGGGGTGGCTAGCGAGGGGTTGAGCCCGGCCCCTTTCTCTCTGCTGGCGAGTCCGCGCCCTGCGACCCGAGGGGACGCTGTCTCCTGGGCCGCCTGGTGGGTGGGGTGGGAGCCGGAGTGGAGATGGGGAACCGCGAGCGGCGGCCTCTGGGAGTGGTGACTCTGCAGAATAGTTTCTGTCGCTGTCCTAGGGTGCAGGGAAAGGTGAGGGTGTGTCCCGGGGTCCCCGGGCCAGGCTGGAGGTGCAGTGGGATTTCCTTGTGCTCATCAGTGGAGCCGTGGGAGCGGGCGGCAAGGAGGGAATCCTGAGGTAAGGGAGGGATGGAGGGACCTGAGATGTGAGGTTAGCCTTCGTCGTTGATGGGGTTTCCCTCAGTAGCTTCCCTTCGCTTGCCCCTGCCTACCTTTGCTCAACCCCCTTTTTGGTACCAATTTCTGTTTTATCCCAAGGCAGATTGCGACTAATTTTTTTTACTTCGTTTTCACTTCATCAAACACTGTATTGAGTTTCTATGTCCGAAGCATAGCGTTAGCTTTGTGAGGTAGATTAATACACATATCCGCGGGCATCGTTTCCTTTGGAGAGGCGTTGCACGGGTTTTTGCCTGATGCTGGTGTAAGGGGTTGGCCAGCGATCCCATTTTTAGTTAATGAACCTTCCCGTTTCCTAGTCTGATTCAAAATGGCACCTAGTAAGATGTATGTGGTGGCTTCAGTTGGCTATGGATGTGTGATTCATTGGCCATACCTGACTTAACACAATTCCTTTATTGAAGATTCAGCCTATTCAAAGAGTATGAAACAAAAGTAATGTTTAATCTTGAAGTGGATTCTTGATATTCTAGAATGTTGAATCGAATGCTTTAATAATGATTGCTCAGCCCTAGCCGGTTTTGCTCAGTGGTTAGAGCGTGGGCCCGCGGACTGAAGGGTACCACGTTCCATTCCGGCCAAGGGCACGTACCTGGGTTTCAGGCTCCATCCCCAGCCCTGGTCCGGGCTCCTATGGGAGGCAACCAATCCATGTGTCTTTCTCACATTGATGTTTCTCTCTCTGTCTCTGTCTGTCTCTCTCTCTGAAAAGCAATGGAAAGAATATTCTCGGGTGAGGATTTAAAAAAAAAAAAGATTGCTCAACCTCTTTCTAGAATTATTATTGGTAGAATAATTACACAATAATTAACAGGAGAATGGTACTTGAAATACTCCATTTATGCAATATAGAATTGAGGGAGCATTAACAGCGATAAATCCCACTGTAGGCTAATATAATACTTAAATACACAGGTGACACACATACAACAAAACCAACCCCTTTCTTGTTCCCCTCAAAAAGTGCCTATATTCACCATACTGTCGATGGTAATAATTGAGTAGCTTCTTAAATATGTAATCAAACTTTCCCTCATTTCCCAAGTTGGGGAATTGAAGTAGATTTCTAAGGTTTCCTCCTTTCACATCTCTGTATTGAGAATCTGTGTTTTCAGGTTCTGCAAAAAGCCCTCCATTAAATGAGAACATTTTAAGTACTGTTTCATAAGTTTTGGTAGAAAATTAAATATCCAGATTCTTATATGGGTAAGGTAAGTGCCACAAAATTTAATGAACACCTGACACAAAGCTAGTGTTTTTACACATGTTGCTTTGTTTTAATCTTCAACATAATCCTGTGATACTGGTATAATTCTCCTTTATGGGTAAGCAAAAGGTTTAAGTAACTTGCCCGTGTGACACAGCTAAGTACATTTCAGATTCTGATACTGTTTTCATTTAGTCCTATTTTTTGCTTGTACTATTGCTATGTTTTTAGTTTACTTCAGTAGTTACAGTCGTACCCTCTTTAATCCCATTTCCCCTGCTGCTGCTAGAGCAATCTAATGTTCAGACCAGACCAAGTGGCCTTTAAGAAAACCTTTCAGAGATTGCACATTTTCTGTAACATAAAGCCTGTATGTTTTAGCATAACTTATGTTACCTTTCTTGACTTGATCCTTTGCCAGCTTACAGTTTCAGCTGCTTCCCTGTCACCCTGGGAATTATATCTTAGAGCACTCCATGCTGCTTTATTTTTCTGAATGTTTTTCTTGTCTTTTCCAGGAATGCTTTTATTCTTTCTTTTTCTCTGGCTAACACCTAATTTATCTTTGAGTCTCAGCTTGATAGTGATAAAAAGTTGATAGTAGCCCTGCTGGCATGGCTCAGCAGTTGAGCATCAACCTAGGTTGCAGGAGATTCCTGGTCAGGGCATATGCGGTGGTTGCAGCTGGATCCCCAGCAGGGGGCATGCAGGAGACAGCCAGTCTGATGACTCTCATCATTGATGTTTCTCTCTCTCCCTCCCTTCCACTCTCTGAAATCAATAAAAACATTATTAAAAAAAGTTGATAGTGATAACACAGAGTTATCACTTCCTCCAGGGAATTCTTCCTTACTAATGAAGCATTCTTCTGTACTCCAGTAGCATTTATAATATTAATATTGTATTATTTATTTTAACCTTTTCCCTCCATTTCTCCCTTATTAGACTGTAAGTTCATAGAGTCTTCCTAATGCTTGTTACTGGGTTTATCGTTGAATGAATGCTGCATATATTAATTGAACTGATGAAAGAATTGGTATTTGGCGTCAGGGTCAGTTTTTCATATTCTGATTTTAGTAGTTGAAAATCATTTGTTGTGAGATTCTCGTTTTGAATAGGTATAAAGTTTTTAGTGGAAACAAACTTTATCCTTGAGTTTATTTATTTTTACATATTTCAAAAATGCTATTTTATGAGGCTAATTGAAAATTTGTTATTGGCTGAAATTTTTTTATTATGGTAAAGTATATGTAACATAAAATGAACTGTTTTAACCATTTTTAAGTGTAGTTTTTGGCATTCAGTACATTCACAATGTTGTGCAGTCATTATCACTATCCTCCTCCCAACTTTTTCATATTTCTAAACTGAAACTGTTTCATTGAACAATATTCTCCCCATTTCCATTTCCCCCATTCTACTTTCTACCTCTGAATTTTACTACCCTAGGTACCTCACATAAGTGTAGTCATACAATATTTTCCCTTTTGTGTCTGCCTTATTTCACTTAGCATAATGTCTCCAAGGTTCATCCATGTTTTACCATGTGTAAGAATTTCATTCCTTTTTAGGGCTGAATATTATTCATTGTGTATATATGCCACATTTTGTTCACGCATTCATCTATTGATGGACACTTGGGTTGCTCCCATTTTTTGGCTGTTGTGAATAATGCTGCTATGAACATGGGTATAAAATATAAATTTGAGTCCCTGCTTTACATACTTTTGGGTGTATACCTAAAAGTAGAATTGCTGGATCATATGGTAATTCTATGTTTAATTTTGTTAGGCACTGTCATACCTTATTCCACAATGGCTGCACCATTTTATAGCCCCATTAGCAATGCACAAGGGTTCCAGTTTTACCACATCCTTATTTATTTCCTGTTTCTTTTTTTAAAATTTTTATTAAATAGCCATTTGAATGGCTGTGAAGTAGGATTTTAATATTTTTTAGTAATTTAGTTATATCTTTGAATTCTTAATATTTGACCATCTTGTGCTCAGGAACCACACATTTCAATTCTTAGAATGCAGAATCTGTATTCCTTGTTTTAAATATGTTTTTTTCTCCCAATTACCTTTCAAAAACCTTTCTCCTCTCTTTTCCAACAGTATGTAGATTTTAATGACTCCTCAGTTAAATACATTTTGAAGTCTGTGAACCTTATTCTGGGAACTACTTCAGGGTGATCATATTTTGCAAAAATTATTATTATTATTTTTTAATTTTGATTTCAGAGAGAGGAAAGGAGAGGGAGAGAGTTGAAACATCAGTGATGAGAGAGTCATTGATTGGCTGCCTCCTGCACACCCTTGACCAGGGATCGAGCCCGAAACCCAGGCTTGTGCCCTGACCAGGAATTGAACTGCGATCTCCTGGATCAAAGGTCCATGCTCAACTGCTGAGCCACACCCAGCCGGGCTGCAAAATTATTGATGAGGATTCAGAAGACTTGAATATTTACTAACTAGTTTTTTTTGACATTAGTTAAGTCAACCAACTTCTCTTAACTGTTGGTTTTCTTATTTATGAAATGAGAAGTTGGATTAGATCCAGTTAAATTTTACTCAGGACGTGCTGCATTCAGGTCACTCCTGATTTAGTGTAGACATTATAAACTTAAAAAGATGAATGACATAGTATGGCTTTCAAGAACTAGCCTTCTTCTAAATCTGAAGTCTTGTTATTTTGAAAATGAAAAAAAAAAAAAATTATGGTTTTGTTTGCAGTTACCGTGAAGTGGGGAAAGGAGAAATTTGAAGGTGTAGAATTGAATACTGATGAACCTCCAATGGTGTTCAAGGCTCAGCTTTTTGCACTGACTGGAGTACAGCCGGCCAGACAGAAAGTTATGGTGAAAGGAGGAACGTTGAAGGTAAAACTTAGTCCATTATTTTCATTATATACTATTATTATATAATTAGTGAAATGTAACATTTGAAGTTTCTTTTATTTGGTGAGAGTATATAGTTATGGATTACACCTATTTTATTCATGTTAGTGTAAGGAGGAGCATTGTAGCCATTTCAAACATTATGTTATAAAATATCATTAAATTTTTTATTTTCAGATGCACTGTATTAATGAATACATCTGTGGGTCATGGGAGTGGGGTACTTCCATTTGTTTGTATTGTTTGTTGTTTTTCCAAGGAGGGTGCGTTAAAAGTATTACTTTTGTTTTTAGACTATTATGAAATCTATTTGTATTAGTAATTTTCTGTTATAGGGTGGAAAATTTTATTTCTGTTAAAAATATGGAACAAGCCCAGCTGGTGTGCCTCAGTGGTTGAGCATTGCCCCCATGAACCTGGAGGTCATGGTTCAATTCCTGGGCACATGCCCAGGTTACGGGCTTGATCCCCAGTAGGGGGCCTGCAGGAGGCAGCTAATTGGTGATTCTCTCTCATCATTGATGTTTCCATCTCTTTTTCTGTCTCCCTCCCTCTGAAATAAAAACATATTAAAAAATATATGGTACAATATAGTAGATATGTATTTTTTTAATAAAAAGAAATAGTTCAGTGTCTTTACCAAAGCTTTGGCTCTGAAATACTGGAAAACTTTATTTTTTCCTGTGGCCTTTCTTGCCTCCTACCCATTAAAAAAGAGCTTCCTTCTCTTAAGGGTAATTGCTAACTAACACTTATCTGGAGATGGGAGGAAAAAAAATGTTTAAAAAAGAGGGAATTTAATTTTTCCAAGTTCCCTTGGAATGATCACTTTGACTACAGTTAAGAGTCGAAGCTTACTAGCATCATTGATGAAGGGCCACAAAAAAAGGTGCAGAAGTATTTTCTTCGTTGTTATTTGTAATACTATATAAGTATATATTTTTAAAGTACTTTCTTCAAGAGTTTGATATGAAATGCTAAAGAGCTATAGTTAACTTTAGAAATAAGGGCTGGCTACCTCTGTCAGCTGGGCAGTAAAACAGATGTTGGTGAAGAAACATTGTTTCCCCTCCCAAATTGCAGTATGAACTTTTGGTCATTGATAACCTAATTTCTGCTGAACTGTGTACACAGGCATACCTCAGAGATATTGCAGGTTTGGTTCCAACACACTCAATAAAGCAAGTATCACAGTGAAGCATGTCACAAATATTTTGGTTTCCCAGTGTATATAAAAGTTACGTTTATGCTATACTGTAGTCTGTTAAGTGTGCAGTAGCATTATGTCTAAAAAAACAATGAATATACCTTAATTTAAAAATACTTTAGCCCGGCCGGGCGTGGCTCAGCAGTTGAGCGTTGACCTAGGATCCAGGCAATTGGGGTTCGATTCCCGGTCAGGGCACATGCGCAGGTTGCGGGCTCAATCCCGTCGGGGACGTGCAGGAGGCAGCCGATCAATGACTCTCTCATCATTGATGTTTCTGTCTCTCTCCCTCTCCTTTCCTCTGTCTGAAATCAATAAAGGTATATTTTTAAAAAAATACTTTATAGCTAAAAAATGATATTCATTTTCTGAGACTTAAAGTTTTTGCTGGTGGAAGGTCTTGTAAAAAAACTCAGTAAAGCAAAGCACAGTAAAACAAGGTATGCCTGAAGTGGTGGTATACAGTAGATAATTATAGAAAATGCTAAGGAAATGAAGCTGACTAATAGCAATCACTTAATTACTTACTTTTTGCCAGGCTTTTATTTATTTTTAAATTCTCAACTGTATATATTTAGAAAATGATGAAAGTAAATGTGAGGTAGCAGCGTCAGAGGGCTTAAGTAAGATATAGTAACATACCAAAAGAGCATGTGATTTATGAGTCAAGTAGATCTGGGTTCATTTCCCAGCTCTTGTGACCTCAGATAAGTAAGTGCTCTGAGGGGGTGTATATAGTTATTATTACATATGATTAGCAGTAGTAACTCTTAAACTGAGAAGAGTCTTTAGGAAGTTACTGTGCCACTTTGAAGCAGGTGTTCAGAGAGATCATTAGTTATACCACCAAAGGGAAGCAGATAGAATGCCTGGTACCTTCAGCAAAAAGAAAGGAGTAATATAGAACTGACTTTATTCTGTGAAGAGAAGGGCTTCAGTAGGCCAAAATATCTGTGAACCAGTCATGGCATTAAGGGAAAAGTATTGGTTTAATTGAAAATACTGAAGTAAAAGTATTGGTTAATTGTTTCATGTGAAATTTAGTACTTGAGAAACATTGGACTAAAGCACTTTCTCAAGAGTCTCCTGATTTGGATAATAAATTCTGTAATTACCCTAATTATGTAGACCTTATTTCATGTTACTCTTCATTCTTGTCACCTAAGGTAGTTATGAGCTATGCTGGTTCCTAACATGCAGTGAACATGTAAAAATTAGCATCTTTCATTTGTCATCAATCAGGTGTTTTTTAGTACCTCTGGTGCTACCAGGTTTGCTGTCTTTTGATTGTCTTATGTGGTTTAAGCAATTGATAGAATTACTGTCTTTAGGACTGCACTTGTTTTTTAAAAAATACTTTGATTACAGTAATTTAAATAATATCTGATAAAAAATTTTATTTTGAAGTAGTTTGAAATTAGTTGATTATTATACAGGGGTGATTGAATGTTCTTTTACTTGTCTTTAAAACAGGATGATGATTGGGGGAACATCAAAATTAAAAATGTAAGTATTATCCTATGAACACTATTATAATGCAGTTTCCTAATTATTATATCAAAGTATATTCCAAGTGCCTTTTTTTTCATGTGTTGATTGAGTTGTTCCAGCAACATCTGCTGACAATACATTCCTTTTCGCATTGACTTGTGTTGGAGACTTTCTTGAAAATCAGTTGTAGGTCTATTTTTGGACTCTTGTTTCATTTATATATTAGATTAAACTTATACCACTACTACATGGTCTTGATTTCTAAAGCTTTCTAAGTCTGGATAGAAGATATTGTAAGTTCTCCAACTTCTTTTTCTTTGAGACTATTTTAGCTCCTTGACACTTCTGTATAATTTTAGAGAAGTCTGTCAATTTCTGCATATGGACTCCTGGTATTTTGTTTGAGATTGCATTGAATTTGTAGTTCAGTTTGAGGAGAATGAACATCATAATGGTATTGAGTATTAAAATCCTTAAATATGGTGTACTGCTTCATTTGTGTAGGGCTTTATATTCTCTTGGCAGAGCTTTGTAGTTTTTTATTTTAGCATGGTTTTTGTTAGATTCATGGAATTTAATGTTTCTTAGCTGTTGAAAATGATACTTAAAAAAATTTGTTTCCCAATGTTCATGGCTAGATTGTAAAAGTACAGTATATTTTCATCCTGTGACCTTACTAAATTCACTTACTAGCTCTAATAGTTTTTTTTTAGATTCCTTTGGGTTTTCTATGTACATAGTATGTTATCTACAAATAGAGACAGCTTTACTGCCCCCTTTCCAATCTTTATGACCTCTATTTCTTTTTATTGCCTTACTTCACTGCACATACAAGTTAATTAATTATATATTGACCAAGTATCCTGTGACTTGACTGATTTTATGTATTAGTGTCTTAGGATAATGTAGGTATATAATCATTATAATCATGTAATTAACACTGAAGAAGGTTTTATTTATTTTTTTCAATTCTATGCTTTTTATTTCTCTCTTTTTCTTGTTTTATTCCACTGGTTAGGATTTCAGCACAGTGTTGAGTGGAAGTGGTTGATAGTGTACATCATTGCTTTTTTCTGATCTTATGAGGAAAGTCTCCAGTCTTAGCTGGAGATTTTTTTTTTTTTGACAGATGTTCACCATAGGTTGAGGAAGTTCTGTTTCTGGTTTGCTGACAGTTTTAGCATGAATTGGAGTTGAATTTGGTTGAATACTTTTTTTGTATCTGTTGAAATGATCATTTATTTTTTTATCCTTTAATCTGTTACACCGACTTTCTTGAATAGTAAACCAACTTTATATTCTTGATAAGCCTCAGTTGGTTCTTTTTATATATTGCCAGATTCTATTTGGTAGTATTTTGTTAAGGATTTTTATGTCTTTTCATGAGAGAGAGTTTGTATTGTTTTTTCTTAAAATGTTTGTAAAATTTTCCAGTGAAGCCTTCCAGGCTTTCTTTGTGGGAGCACTTTTCTTTTTCTTCTCCTTAATAAAATTTTTTCTCTAGCTTACTTTATTGTAAGAGTCCAGCATATAATACATATAACATACAAAATATGTGTCATAATTGACTGTTATCAGTAAGGTTCTGGTCAATAGTAGGCAATTAGTAGTTAAGTTTTTAACTAACAGTAGTTAAGTTTTTGTGGAGTCAGAAGTTTTAAGTGAATTTTTTTCTTAAATTTTATTGTTGACAGTATTACAGATGTCTCCCATTATCTCCCCTTTTGCCTCCCTCCACTCAGCTCCTGCCCCACCCCAGGCCTTCCCCATGCTATTGTCTGTGTCCATGGATTATGCATATATGCATAAATGTTCTTTGGTTAATCTCTTCCTGTCCTCTCCCCCCCCATGCCTCCTCCACTGAGATCTGTTATTCTGTTTCATGCATAATTACCTCTAAATCTATTTTGTTGGTCAGTTTATTTTGTTCTTTAGATTCCACTTATACGTGAGATCATGAGATATTTGTCTTTCTCTAACTGGCCTATTTCGCTTAGCACAATAGTCTCCACGTCCATCCATACTGTCTCAAAGGTTAAGAGATACTTCTTTTTTACAGCTGTATTATAGTATTTCATTATAAATGTACCACAGCTTTTTTATCCACTCATCTACTGATGGGCACTTGGGCTGTTTCCAGATCTTAGCTATTGTAAGTAATGCTGCTATGAACATAGGGACGCATATATTCTTTCTGATTGGTGTTTCGGGATTCTTAGGATATATTACCAGAAGTGGGATCTCTGGATCAAAAGGTAGTTCATTTTTAATTTTTGAGGAACCTCCATACTGTTTTACACAGTGGCTGTACCAGTCTGCATTCCCACCAGCAGTGTGCTAGTGTTTCCTTTTCTCTGCATCTTTGCCAGCACTTCTTGTTTGTTGCTTTGTTGATGGTAGCCATTCTGGCAGGTGTGAGGTGATACCTCATTGTAGTTTTAATTTGCATCTCTCTGATGATTAGTGACTTTGAGCATGGTTTCATGTGTCTGTAGGCCATTAGTATGTCCTGTTTGGAGAAGTGTCTATTCAGGTCTTTTGCCCGTTTTTTAATTGGATTGTTTGTCTTCCTGGTGTTGAGGTGTATGAGTTCCTTGTATATTTTGGAAATTAAACCCTTATCGGTTGTGTCATTGGGGAATATATTTTCCCATACAGTAGGTTGTGTTGTGGAAAGACGTTTAATTAAAAATTTAGTGTCTTGCCTGGCCAGCGTTGCTCAGCGGTTGAGCATCGACCTATGATGAAGGAGATTGCAGTTCGATTCCCGGTCAGGGAACATGCAAATAGAAGCATGCAATATGTGTTTTGCTATGTGTCTTCTTTTATTGAACATAAAAATGATTAATTTTTGAGCATTTTATGAAATTAATTTTTTTAAAAAACAGGGGATAACTCTACTAATGATGGGATCAGCAGATGCCCTTCCTGAGGAACCCTCAGCTAAAACTGTCTTCGTAGAAGATATGACAGAAGAACAGTTAGCATCTGCTGTAAGACAAACCACATTTTATATGATCCCTACTTTTCAGAAGTACAGTTACTGAGGTGCCTTTCAGAAAGTAGCATATGAATGTTTTGAAGATTTAATAGTTAATATCAGGATGTATGGTTTATTTATTTATTTATTTATTTTTTTGAAATTGACTTGAGTCCTCCTATAACCGGATAATTGATTATAATGTCAATTGATATCTATAATAAATATAAGTTTGGCAGGTAGTCAGCACTATTTAAGTGTTTACTATTATTTTTATGGGGAAACAGGCTCAAAGAGGTTAAGTAGTTAAATGCTGGGATATTTAAATTCTTAAAACCTTCCATGTTGAAAATGCATACAATTTATTCTCATTTTAAATGCAATGTTGGTTTAGAAACTGGCCAACTTATAATTGTCAAATGTTGTTATTTTTACCACCCAGTGTTTATATTGTACCATTCCTTTTTTTTTTTAAGAAGTGTTTCTATGTATATTTTGTCACTGTGTTTTAATGATAAGCCTATAAAGAAGGCAGGATTGATATGACTGTCCTTTTATTATTTTCAAGAAAGGAATTAAAACACAGAATGATCGTTAGTATGGCACATGGAACAATTTTTGTTGGGGAAATAAAACATGTTACTTTAGGATAAAGGTGGACTATAGATTGGTATGAGTTGGTAAATTATAGTTCCTTCAAAAGGTGAACTTTAGTGATTTATATATGCTATGTCATTTTATAAAAATGACTTAATTCTTTTCCTTATAAGATGGAGTTACCATGTGGATTGACAAACCTCGGTAACACTTGTTACATGAATGCTACAGTTCAGTGTATTCGTTCTGTGCCTGAACTCAAAGATGCCCTTAAAAGGTAAGACAAGAGAAATGTTTTAAGTCTTCTTTGGGTAATGGAGGTTCACATTTGGATGAGTAGTGTGGGTTTTTTTTTTGTGNTGTTTTAAGTCTTCTTTGGGTAATGGAGGTTCACATTTGGATGAGTAGTGTGGTTTTTTTTTTTTTNTTGGATGAGTAGTGTGGGTTTTTTTTTTGTGTGTGTGTGTGTGTATATATTTAGCAGCTTTATTGAGATATAATTCATTATTTTAAAGGATTCCAGTTAAATGGTCTTTATCATATTCACAAGGTTGTGCAACAATCACCACATCTAATTTCAGAATATTCCCCACCTACCCCACCCCAAAGAAACCTCATACTCAGTAACAGTCACTTGTTATACCCTTCCCACCTGCAACTCTAGACAATCATCAGTCTACTTTTTGTCTTATACATTTGTCTGTTCTGGACATTTCATGTAACTGGAATCATAATATGTGCTCTTTTTGTGACTGGCTTCTTTTACTTATTTTCTAGGTTTATTCATGTTATGTATTTACTTTATCCCTTGGAATGGCTGAATAATATTCAGTTGAATGGATATACCACATTGGTTTATCCATTTCAGTTAATGGACATTTGCTTTGGATTGTTTCCATTTTTTAGCTGTTATGAATAATGCAGCTGTGAATATTCAGTCACAAGTTGTGCAGATGAGTTGTTTTCATTTCTCTTGGTTATGAGTATATTGCTTGGCAACATGTTGAGGAACTGCCAGACTGTTTTCCAAAGTGGCTTCATCACTTTACAACCTCACCAGCAGTGTAACAGAGTTCCAGTTTCTCCACCTCCATGCCAATCTTGTTATTTTATGTCTTTGATTATAGCCATCCTGTGGGTGAAATATCATTGTGGTTCTCATTTGCATTTACCTAATGAGTAGTAACATTGTATGTGCTTATTGGCTGTTTATATTTCTTCTCAGGAGAAATGTCTCATCAAATTAGTTACCTATGTTTTTAAATGTGTTTTTATTGAATTTTAGAGAGAGAGGGAGAGAGGTAGAGAGATAGAAACATTAATGAGAGAGAAACACCTCCTGAGGATTGAGCCTGAAACTCAGGCATGTACTCTGACTGGGAATGGGACCAGTGACCTCTTGGTTCATGGGTTGATGCTCAACCACTGAACCACACCAGCTGGGCTATTTGCCTATGTTTTAAGTGGTTTGTTTTTATGATACAAATACTTCTTCAAATAGATAAATTGCAAATCTTTTTTTCCATTTTGCGAGTTTTTTCACTCTCTTGATGGTATTGCTTAAAGCACAAGTTTTGGTTATTTTCCTTTTTAAAAAAATCAAATTTATTGGGATAACATTGGTTAAAAGTTTTAAATTTTGATGTAGTTTAATATTTTTTTGTTTTGTTGCTTGCTTTTGTGTGTCTTTTTTGGTGTCATGTAAGAAACCATTGCTTAATCATGGTCACAAAGATTTTGTTTTTTTAAGAGTTACATAGTTTTAGCCCTTACATTTAGGTTTGTGATCCATGTTTACTTAACTTTTATGTATGGTGGGAGGTAGGTGTTCCATCCCATCCTGTTCTTCTAGTACCATTTGGGGAAAAGATGAATATGTCCCCATTGAATTTTCTTAGCATGCTTTGTTGAAAATCAATTAACCATAATGGATGTAATAAGTAAGATTTAGTTCTGGACTTTCAGTTCTAGTTTAGAAATAAATTCACTGATTTGTAAGTCTGTGCCAGTGAGTAATGGTTTTAAAAGGTAATATCACTATACAAAAGAAAAAAGAGTAAACAACTATTCACATTTAGAGAAACTTTGAAATAGTCTATAAATGAGGGTCCCTTCTCTTCAACAAGTATAAATGTTTAACTTAAAATATGACCCTGGCCAGGTTGCACAGTTGGTTGTAATGTCATCCTGTACATCAAAAGGTGTGGGTTCGATCCCCCGTCGGGCATGTATGGGAGGCAACCAGTTGATGTTTCTCTCTCTTTCTCTCTCTCAAAAAATTAGTAAGGAACATAGCCTTATGTGAGGATTAAAAGTATATACATATAAATTTATTACATCTGTCTTGATTTATACATTGCAGTTCTTAATGTATGATATAATTCTAAACTGCAATTTGGATTCCTAGCTTCATGAATGTTGACCTTTTTATTTCCTTAGTGGCTTGTGAAATGCTTTGATAGAACTGAGCATTAGAAAGGAGAGAGGAGAACTATGCAGAAACCTGAGAGTAACTGAAGGTTTTCTATATTTCTCTGAATACTTGTCAGGTATTTACGTGAAATTGCCTAGAGTGCAGCTGATGTATTATCAGTGAACAAGACACAGTACCTATCTTTAGGCACTTTCAATCTAATTGAGAAAGATGATCAGGTCAACAGGTACTGTTTCAGAACTATCTTAATGGGAAATGTTAGTTATTTTTCCTCAGAGGCCTAGTTATTTCTTCATTGTTTTAGTGTGTCCGTGGTTACTGATGAGAAGTCTGACATCAATCTTAATTCTTACTCTTTTCTGTTAATAACTTTTATTTTTCAAAGTTTTCTATCAGTAAAAGTGTGGGTTTTCTTTATCTTATTTTAGTGCTCACTGGGCACTAAGTCTGAGGACTCTTGTCCTGAACTCTGGGACATTTTTGGCCATTATTTCTTCAGATATTGCTACTCTTCTATTTTATCTGGCTTCATCTTACATTTTGAACATTAGAATTTCTGGATCTAGTTTTCATGTCATTTTTTCCCTCTGCACTTTAAATTTTTTATGTGCTGTATTCTAGGAGAATCCCTAAGATTCGTTTTACTTATATTTCATTGATTTGTACATTAGCTTTGTTTTACAGCTGCTTATTTTTCACAACCTTTGTTCTGTTTTATAACCTCCTGTTAATAATTTTTGGATATGATTCCTGTTCTTATTTCTTGAGGCTTTAAAATATTATTTAAAGTTTTTATTTTCCTTTAACTCTGTTCTTTTTGGATGTAAGGTATGATATGATCTTCCCTCATTTGTTTGAAGATTGTGTACTTATTCAACCATATTCTCTTATGTTCTGATTGCAAGTTATCTGAATGAGTAACTTGCTGGAGCAGCACTCTGCCCTAGAGTGTGACTAGTTGGGACAGACTTGCCTTATGTACTTCCAAGACTCTTCTTTCTTCCGAATACCTTATAGCCTCCATTTCAAGGAGAGTTCTCTTGCATGTCTTGGAGTTATTTCTCTGAGTTTGTATAAGCAGAGATTTCATCCTGTTGATTCTGTTTTCTTGAAACCAAATGACTTTTTTTTTTTGAATTTTAAGTTTTCATAAGGTTGTGGAAGTCCTTGTACTTATTAATTTAATCAATACAAGATGGCATGGATGGGGTTGTATGTCATTGGAAAAATGGCACTAACTGATAAAATAGAAATAAAAGGTGAGGAAAATTACATGAAAGATGTTTTACAACTGGAGATGCTGAAAATAATTTTCAAATAGAGTTTTTATTTGGCAGGTTCTAGAGAGGGATGTATAATGATGAAAGGTAGAAAGAAAGTGCATTCAAGAGAAGTAGACTGTATTGGCTGAAGAGGCAGTGAGTAGAATGGTGAATTGATTTTGATTTAATGTTTTCAATCTAATGCCTTCTTCATTATTTTTGAAGTTGTGTTTTATTTGTAATAGTAATCTGCACTTTTTGTTTTACACTGTTTTCAGAAAATGTTTGGTATAGATGAGTTAGACAAGGGAAAAGAATTTAAAGTGGCTTCATTCATTTAAATTCTCTTTTTCCTTAGTGCTCCTTTTTTGCCCATATAATGCTCAAAGGAACAAGACCAGAGAGACGAAAATAGAAAGGTGGGAGCAACCCTGAGAAACTTGCATTTGAGGGTGTCATAATAAGTTCTTTTAACTGGTTTCTTCCTACTTGAGTTTCAGAATGAATTGAATCCTATTTTTTAATTCTGCCTTAATGTCCCTAGGTATGCTGGTGCCTTGAGAGCTTCAGGGGAAATGGCTTCCGCACAATATATTACTGCAGGTCAGTCTTAAAAATACATACTTTTCAAGAGAGAGTATTGTATTCAGTAAGTCTTATTTTTAACTCAGTTTGTTTGCTACCTTTCGATTTACAAAATGTGTTTTGTAAAACATTACCTCATTAAAATTGGACTAACTGTAAACAACTTGGAACTTATTTTGTTATCCAAATTATAAACCAGTGATGTGGCTCCTTTTTGAAGAGCAGTCTTTGGATTAAATTACAATTTTGGGCCCTGGCCTGGCGTGGCTCATTGGTTAGAGCGTCAGCCTGCACACTGATGGGTCGAGGGTTTGATTCCCAGTCAAGGGCATGTACCTCAGTTGAGGGTTTGCTGCCCGCCCTCAGTCAGGGCACATGCAAGAGGAACAATTGGTGTGTCTCTTTTACATCGACCGATGTTTCTCTCTCTCTCTCTCTCTCTCTCCTTTTCTCTCTCTTTCTCCCCCCTTCCTTCCTCTCTCCTACTTCCTCCCTCCTATTCTCTTTGAAAAAGCGATGGAAAAAATATCCTCAGGTGAGGATTAACAACAACAACAAAATTATAATTTTCGCTTAGGTTCTGTTAGTAAAATACAGTGGTACCTAGGTTTTCGAATGTCCTCATTGACAAACATTTCGGTTTACTATCGCCGTAAACCCGGAAGTAAATGCTCCGGTTTTCTAACACGCCTCGGAAGTCGAACATGCCACACGCTTCTGCTGAGGGCAAGATCTTGAGGCCTAGCTCTCTGCTGTCAATCCCTTGGTTTTCGAACGTTTCAGAACTCAGATGGTCTTCCGGAACGGATTACATTTGAAAACTGAGGTACCACTGTGTATCTTTAGGGATATCCAGAGAGAGGTTTTATTGTAGTTGATGTGATCATTATAATAGAGAGTCTTGGTGGGTATTAGTGTGAGGAAGTAGTGTATGAGGAATGAGAAGACATGAAATTCTTAAAGTATAGAAATATTTCTTCATTACATGAGACCATGTGTGCCCCTGTCTCATTTTGGGACAATTGGACAAAATGAGTACCCTCCTTTTTTAAAAAATTGATCTTAGAGTAAGGGAGAGGGGAGAGCAAGCGAGAGAGAAATATTCATGTGAGAGAAGACCAGCTGCCTCCTGCACTCCCCCTAACCAGGCGTGCTTTTTTTGGGGGGGTAACAGCTTTATTGAAATACTCATATACCATACAATTCACTCATTTAAAGTGTACAATTTGTTTTTTAGTATATTCACAGAATTGTGCAGTCATCACCAAAATCAATTTTGGAACATTTTCATCACTCCAAAAAGAAATTCTAACTTTAGCAGTCACCCTGTTTTCCCTTCACCACTCCCAGCCCTGTGCAACCACTAATCGGGTCTTAGCCTCTATAGATTTGTGTATTGTGGACTTTTGATATAAATGGAATTATACAACATACGATCTTTTTTGGCTGGCTTCTTTCACGTAGAATGTTTTCAAGGTTCACCCACATTATAGGATGTATCAGTACTTCATCCCTTTTTATTGCTAAATAAGATTCCATTGATTGGATATATCAGTGGAATTTATCCTTTCATCACTGAAAGATATTTGGGTGGTTTCACTTTTTGACTATTATGAATATTGTGGAACTTTCTGTGCGTAAGTCTTTTTGTGGACATATGTTGTCATTTTGGGTAAATCTCTAGGAGTGGAATTGCTGGGTTAAATGGTAACTATATTTAACCTTTTGAGGAACTGCCAGACTTTTCCAAAACAGCAGCAGCATTTTACATTCCTTTCAGCATGTATGAGGGTTCCAGTTTCTCTTTATTCTTGATACTCTTGCTGTCTTGATAATGCTTTATATTTTTGTCTTTGATTATAGCCATTCTAGGCGTGTGAAGCAGTATATCATTGTGGTCAACCCTTAATTTTTAATACTATAAACAGTAAGTTTTTTTGTGTCACTTGGAGATAGACAGATTTCCTCTAACCTTTTTTCCTAAAAGTAGATTTTTTGAAATGAAGTTTTTAATGGGAAAATGTGATCACTTATATCTAGTTCATTGGATTACTTATGTTTCTAAGAGTAACTCAGAATTTCAACATCTTGTCCAGTATCATATATAGGAGGCTGATAGTATTGATGGGATAAAAAATACTGTTCTTTACTTTTAGCTTCTTGACTTTTTGAACTTTTTTATTTTGAACTAAATTTAAATTTATAGAAAAGTTGTAAGAATTCACCAATTACTATTTTTTTTGTCGCGTCTGGTTCATCATTCTATATAATGTGTATTCTTTTTTTCTGAACCGTTTGAGAGTAAGTTGCATATATCATGTCCTTTATCCCTGAATACTTCAGTAAATATTTCCTCAGAATAAAGACATTCATAACCACAGGACAGTTTTCAAAACCGTATTCTAAAATGTAGACTTTATTTCAATTTTGCCAATTGACCCACCATTGCCCATTGTAAATTTTTTCTTTTTTGCTTCAGGAGCCAGTTTAGGATCACACACTGCATTTATATGTCATATCTCATTGGTTTCTTTTAATGTATAGTGTGTTTTTTACCTTTTTTCCCAAATAAATGAAATATTTTGATGTTACTGGTATATAGTAAGTAAGCTTAAACGATCTTTTCCTTTTTTTTTTTAGCAATGTGCACTTTAAAGTGTTATTACAATTTAGGCTTTTTTATTTTAAAAATAATTAGCTTGGTAGTGATGCTTAAATTTCAGCTCTCCCTTTAAAAATATATTTTAAACATTGTGTTAGGTTGATTTAATCAGGAACATTTTATTGAGCACTGCTGTGTGCTGAGATGTAGTTTTTACTGGATTTCAGCCTATATAACAATAACAGATAACATTTCACATTTTAGTTAACAAAACAAGTCAAGATAAGCTACATTACAGTTTTGTTGTACATAAATAAGGGCAAGGTGTGACAGCTAGGACATTAGAAAAGGAAAAGTATTCTGACCTCCATAAGCCAGGGCTGAGTCTATGACCATGGGATTCATGATGTTGAGAGGGGATAAACAGGAAAGATTTTTGAAGACGGCAAATTAGCTTTGGTTTTTAGCTATTCAGTAGAATCAAGAAGTATGTTTAAAGAGTCAGATTTCAATATTCAGGAGTTCAGTAGATGGGAACCAAGTGAGTTAGGTGTGAAGATCTGATGGCTTGTTAAGGGCATTGTGGCAGAACAGTAACATACCTGTTTGATCTCTAGACAGAAGTTATATGTATTTGTATTGAATGAATACATACCCTGCTTTGTTTGGGAAAACAGTGACTGGCAGGGGGAGAGAGGGGCAGGGCTCAGAAGTTGTTTATAGCTAGTGCTTGCATTATAAATTCTGGTGCGTTCATTGAGATTTAAAAACAAATCTTTTTCTTATTAGGAATCCAACAATTGTAAAAGGAGTAGATATACATAAAAATAGTTAAGCAGTTTTTTGTTTGTTGTAATTGAGTTTCATTTACAGTAGCATGTATAAAATATGCCACTCTTTTACTAAAGTACTATTTGCTTTATTTTTAAGCCCTTAGAGATTTGTTTGATTCCATGGATAAAACTTCTTCTAGTATTCCACCTATTATTCTACTGCAGTTTTTGCACATGGCTTTTCCACAGTTTGCAGAGAAGGGTGAACAAGGACAGTATCTTCAACAGGTAATCAGGGCATGTTCCTTGGTTTTCATTTTGTAAATGTAAATATTAGGTTTCCTACACTTACCATACTTATTGGAGTATATTTGGAAATGCAAGTATTAGTCCTCTAGTTCACTCTACTGTTATGTCTTGGTTGGTGTGGTTAGTCTGTTAACTGATCATCTTGCTCTGCTTTTGTTTCTTTGCAGTGTTTCTCCATACAGCCCCCAGAACCCTTTTAAAATGTAAATAAGATTGTGTTGGTCCCTTGTTCAGTGCTTCCTAGTGGTTTTCTATCCCTAAATAATCTAAATCCTAAATAATCCAGCCTCTAGCTACCTTTCTGAATTTATTATGTGCCACTGTCCTCCTTGCCCACTTCTCTCCAGGTACTGGCTTCCGTGCTACCTTTTAAACCCTCCAAGTATCCTGCAGGGCCTTTGCACTTGTTTCTTTGGGTCTCAGTACATGACTTTCCTCCTTACCTTTAGGTCTCCTGGTTCAAATGTGAAGGCATCAGAGAGGCTTCCCTTGACTGTCCTATTAAAATAGCACACCTTCCTTGCCCCAATCACTTTTTGCTCCTGTATTGCTCCCCCCCTTTATAACCTTTCTCTTAACTTGAATTTATGTTATATTTTTTTTATGTTTCCCATTTGGACTTTTTCTATTGCATTTACTGCTATGTATTCCTAGTGTCCAGAGCAGTGTTTAGCATAATCAGGAGCTCAGTAAACATGTCTTGAATGAAAAAAACTACTTTGGAATTTTTCATTGTTTTGAAGATCATAAAATATCGACTTTGGCTTAATATTTTTAAAGAAAAAAAGTAGCTTTCTTCTCCTTCCCTAAGGACACTAATTATTTTGGAAGGATTCTAGAGACCAAACACTGTCACAACCAGGATTACTTACTGTGTCATTTTAAAAATTACAGGATGCTAATGAATGTTGGATACAAATGATGCGAGTATTGCAACAGAAATTGGAAGCCATAGAGGATGATTCTGTAAAAGAGGTAATTGAAATATTTGTGATTATAGATCTTCATTATACCTTGATTCATTCCCACCCCAAAGGCTTGAAATAAATTCATCTTAATAGATAGACATGTACTTGAATACTTTAGGTGTTCAATCTATAGTTGGAATTTGAAAGGTTGCATTTGACACTTGAATTCAGTGTATTTTTATTAAACTTAATTGATAATTATTGGGCATCTGTAGTTTTTTGGCAATGTTCTTTGAGCAGTAGAAGGATTTTGCAGAAAGGGATTAAATTTTTTAAAAGTATGTATTACTAAACTGGATTGTGTGGGAGGTAATATAAACTGCATAAAGTAAAATGGGAATTTTTATTTCATTTTCTTTTGCAGACAGATTCTTCATCTGCATCATCAGTGACACCTTCTAAAAAGAAAAGTTTAATTGATCAATTCTTTGGCGTTGAGTTTGAAACTACGTATCCTTATGAGCCAAGATGTATAAACTACTCATAACTTATTAGAAGCGCATGAAGTGGATTGCTATAAATATGTTGGGTGATTGGAGTGGTGGGTGGGGTAGGAAGGAAAATTCTTCAGAGGTTTTTATGTCTAAAAAATATCATGGAAATTAGAAATTTAAAAAAATATACCCATTGGAGTGATCTTGAAGTTTAGGTAAGTGTATACTTTAAGGATACTCATTATTTTTTCTTATGAACATCTTTAACAGAGTCCACTTCATTAATTTGCCTCAAAGAGAACTAATTTTTAATTGTATGGAGTGTATCAGTTAGATACATGAAATTGACCCAGTTCATAAAACATGAATTTAGGGAAGTATTATTTTCTAGGTGATGGGTAGAAACTTAGAAAAGATTTCTTTTTATGTATCTTTTGTTATTAGGACCATTTTAAGACCATATAAATAGCAACTTAAATTTGTTTAATGTTGGTTCTTTTCACACATTCTTTTACTCAGTATTGCTGGTGAGCGAATTAGCATTTTAAAATATGTTGAAATCTCTTTTGGGAGACCAAAATGTTTTAAATACTAAGGAATGATACTGTTAATTTTAATCATATTAGGATAGCTTATTCATGATTATATAGTAAATTGAATGCCTATTAGCATATTCCTTATCTTACTTTGCAAAGCATGAAATGTACAGAATCTGAAGAAGAAGAAGTCACTAAAGGAAAGGAAAATCAGCTTCAACTTAGCTGTTTTATCAATCAAGAAGTCAAGTATCTTTTTACAGGACTTAAATTGGTAAGAATGATCAGAGTTGATCCTCATTATTTGTGGATTTTATATTTGCAGATTTCGTATTTGCGAATGCACCTACTTGATAAAAATTTATTTGTAACCCAACATCAATACTTTTGGTGTTTTCATGGTCATTTGAAGATGTGCTTTGTGTGGCAAAAAGTTTGAGCCGCCTGACACACAGTGTACCACCTGAGGTCCAGAAAAGTGATGGTCTGACTTCTTGTTTCAGCTCATACTATAAACAAGGGTTCTTTTGCAGTGGTTTTTTAGCGCCCTGTTTTTTGCATTTTTGTGCTTGTTGATTTTGCTATTTAAAATGACCTCAGGCATAGTGCTGAAGTGCTATCTAATGTTTTAAGTGCAAGAGGACTGTGACATATCTTAAAGAGAAAATTGTTTTAGATAAGTTTCATTCAGAGATGAGTTTTAGTGTAGTTGCGTGTGAGTTCAGTGTTAATGATCAACAGTGTACAGAAACATAGAACAAGGTTGTGTATTGTTTGGTTGATAAAAATGTGACCAGAGGCTTAAAGGAGAGCTCTGAGGGTATAATAATGAGGATATATTAATAATTATGAGGCATAAACCAGGATTATACTGTGCAGATCAGGCTCTATAGTCATTTTGCCATTGTACTAGTATTACAGTTGAGATCCTAGAATTTAAGTGACTTAATTTGGTTTGTGGCAGAGCCAGATCTAGAACTTGTTTATCTCACTATTCAGTTAGTGCTCTTTGCCCAGTGCCATACTAAGGAATGCACTGTAGTGAGCCAATGGATAAAATGTAATGGCTTGTGTGCCAGTTTATTAATTTGATGTGATTTGGGGAATATGCACATCTTTTTGAAGGATGGTTACTGAATTGGGGCAGGCATTACATTGATAAACAAGATAATTTGTTGTCAGGGAGCTCCCCTCTATAGTTTGGGGTAAAAGGTATTACAGGAAGGGTTACTAAATTTAAACTTAAGCAGGTAGATAAATAGTGATATTCTTTGCTCTGTGATATTGAAAGGAGAGTTGTGAGGCATAATGGCTTTTGAGAGAAGTTTATTTTAAAAGCATTACAGATACTAGCTAACCACCAAGACTCCTAACGATGTGCAAGTTTCAGGGCTTTAAAACATGGAGTATAAGTGTTAATTGGAGAGTATAGAATGAAATGTTTGTCTGGGACTCTCCAGGATGATCTTTTTCATAATTTTATAAAATTCCAGGAAAACTAAATATACTTGGAACTTCTAAAGGATAGTGGATTGGTGATAATAGGTATAGCTTATTACTTGATGAATAACATCGAAACAGATATGGTTTCTTGAAAAAAAATGAGATTTTGTATTGTCTTGGTAATTTTTAGATAATTTGTTCTGGTTATTAGATCATTTTAATCTGTTAGATTATTTTAATCTTTTGTTCTTGTTATCTTGAGTAATTTGACTTTAATTTCTTTACCTCTTTGCTGCTGAATAAACTTGATTAAATGTTAAAAAGCTACAGTGATTCCTTTTGTAATGTGATTAGTAATTTTTAAAAATCAAACTTAAAAAAATTTTTTTGAACAATTGTAACATGCTTAGAGTAAACATTAACAGTAAATTGTTTTAACTCTGATTTCTTATATGTTTATATTCTCAAAGCAGAACACATTAGTGTTATTTTTCCCTCCAGTTTTATTTTTATTGAACTTATTGGGGTGACGTTGGTTAATAAAGTGATATAGGTTTTATTTTATTTATTTTTAAATATGTCTTTATTGATTTCAGAGAGAGGAAGAGAGAGAGAAACATCAATGACGAGTCTTTGATTGGCTGCCTCCTGCCGCCCCCTACTGGGGATTGAACCCGAAACCCTGGCATGTGCCCTGACCGGGAATCGAACCACAATCACCTGGATCATAGTTCAGTGCTCAACCGTTGAGCCACGCCAGCCGGGCTAAAATTATATAGGTTTTAGATGTACAATTCTATAATACATCATCTGTATATTGTATTGTTTGTTCACCACCCCAAGTCAAGTCTCCTTCCTTCACAATTTATTCCCTTTTATTGCTAATGTTTATTGAACATAGAATACATACTAAATAGTTTTCCAAGTTTTCTACATGTACTAATTCATGTAATTCTAACAACAACCCTATAACATAGGTACTATTATTACCATTTACATATAATGCCCAGAGGGGATAACCACCTTGCCCAGTGTCACACAGGCTTTAAGGAGTAGAAAGACAGACATGATCATTAAGATATGTATAATGGCCGAGGGCTTTCCCACATTGGCTAGATTAACAGAGGGTTTCTTTGTTATGACTTTGCTCAAATTTAATAGTATTTGATTGGTTCTGGAAAGCTTTTTATACATCATAAAGAACAAGGATTTCCTACATTCTCTTAATTTTTCTCTAATGTGAATATTCTAATAAATCATAAGTAGAACGATGTCATAAAAGGCTTTATTATGTTCTATAAAATTCAGTGTAGGCTCTCAGAATCTGAGTAACATTTGGATCATAATTTTAAAACTTTAAACATTATGTTTTCTATTCCAACAAATTCACACCAGTATAAATTTTTACATTCCATTGACTTCACACCTGTGTAAATTTTTTGATGCCTTTTAAGAACTGAACCATATCTAAAAAGAAAAGTCTTCCTGCATTGTCTTCATTCAGGTTCTCAGTGGTGTAAATCCATTATCTATTCAGTAGTGCTAATTTTTAAAGAATTTAAAGGTGTGATGCTATATTGTGGAGAAAAAAATTTAAACTAATGTTTGTTCTTCTGTTATGTTCTTTTTTTAGCGACTTCAGGAAGAAATCACGAAACAGTCTCCAACACTGCAAAGGAATGCTTTGTATATCAAATCTGTAAGTTGTGTGTTCCTTTTGAAATTGAATTCTATTGTTAAAAGTTTTCCAGTTAATTACTGTTGCCCAGTCTTTGTTTTTACCAAACCAAGGAATTAAAAACTTGTATGGTATTTTCTTTTTTTTTTAATTTTTATTTTTAATATATCTTTATTAATTTCAGAGAGGGAGAGGGAGAGGAAGAGATAGAAACATCAAAGGCGAGAGAGTCGTCATGGATCAGCTGCCTCCCTCACGCCCCCGACTGGGGATTGAGCCTGCAACCCGGGCATGTGCCCTGACCGGGAATCAAACCTCGATCTCCTGGATCCTAGTTGATGCTCAACCACTGAGCCATGCCTAGCCGGGCTCATGTGGTATTTTCATGTAATATGATTCTGTTTTTTCTTTTAGTCCAAGATCAGCCGGCTACCCGCTTACTTGACTATTCAGATGGTTCGATTTTTTTATAAAGAGAAGGAATCTGTGAATGCTAAAGTTCTTAAGGTTAGTAATGAACTTTTCAGTGTAATAAATTATTCTTTGAAGGCAATCCCTAACTTATAGTAGGTTTCTTTAATCCTTTAGGGATAAATTTTCTTTGAAATATAAACAGGGAAGTTATTAACATTAGATAAGTGGTCCTTAACCAAGATATGTATTGGAATTAATCTATTGTCCTTTTTATTTTAAATCATATACATTGCCTGGCTTCTTCCCACCCCCAGATTCTGATTAAGTACATTTTATTTTATTTTTTATTTTTATTTTTTTAAAATATGACTTTATTGATTTCAGAGAGAGGACAGGAGAGGGAGGGAGGGAGAAACATCAGTGATGAGAGTCATTGATTGGCTGCCCCCTGCATGCCCCCTACTGGGGATCGAGCCAGAAACCCGGGCATGTGCCCTGACCGGGAATCGAACCTCTACCTCCTGGATCATTGGTCGATTCTCAATCACTGAGCCATGCCAGCGAAGCTGATTAAATACATTTTAAAAAAAGATTCCCAGATAATTCTGATGGATGCTCTCCATTCCCCAGAAACAGTGTGCTAGATCAGATCCTCAATTCCAGGAGGTACTGATCCTTATGTTTTAGGGCAGAAGTGCAGTATAACACACTGTATTCTGTTCTGAGCAGTTCCTTTCTTCCAGGTCAAGGGCATGTTAAATTATTGGTGCCCAAAGAGTACTTAAATTGTAATCCAGCCTTATGATGTAGCTGTTTTATTGAACTGTAGCTCTGATCTTTGGGAGAGGTATATATAATTCTAGCCTGTTAAGCTGAAATTCATAATACATTTTCAAATATACTTAGTATTATATTAGAAGGTTAACTATAGTTGAAATATTTACTAGTGTTAACTTCATATGTTAATATTAATTACTAAAGTATATCACTATTGTTTCTATGTGAAATTGTATTTAAAATTAGAGTCAAAAGCGACCTTATTTGTAAATTGACTCCTCTCTGGTTTAAGGTCTCCATTATTTTCACAGCAATTGGTCTAATATTTCTAAAATGCTTCGTCATACAAATTTTGGTAATTCCTCTGTGGTCAGTTTCATGGGTTAAAATGTTTAATGGAAAAAAAGCTAAAAATTTTTCTTACCTTAAAGGTAGAACCAGGTTGAATATAAGCGCTGTGATGTTTTCAGCTGCATAGATTTCCAAGTGATTTTTACAGATTTTATTTTCAACTTTATTTGAATTATGAAAGCACTACTTTAAAAGCATGATAAATATTTTCAATAACTACCTTGGTAAGTCTCTCTACACATTTGTTTTCTTTTTGATTTGTATATAGGATGTTAAATTTCCTCTTATGTTGGATGTGTATGAACTATGTACACCAGAACTTCAAGAGAAAATGGTCTCTTTTCGATCAAAATTCAAGGATCTAGAAGATAAAAAAGTGAATCAGCAGACAAAGACAGTAGGTTTTTATTGCTGATTTTTTAATCTTAGTATTTTAAACATCAATCTTCAGTAATTACTTTGTTGTATTGTTATTTTATTGTAAAAATGGATGAACTTATATTTTATTTAGCTCGTATACAAACCCCACATATATTGGTGCAAGCCTTTAAAGCTTTAAGGTGTATTTTAGCATAAGGAAAAGAATTCTAGTTATGGTAAGGGTTCTTTATAGTAGAATAAGCTTAATTTCTTTTCTCCTGTAATGTGCAGCTTATATTCCTTTTATGTTTATCTCCTCAAAGCACCTCACATAAAATCTTGCATAGTGTTTTCAGTGTATTTTATTATTTTCCTCGGGAGACATTGAATTATCTCTATTTTTTAGATGGAAGTGGTAGTATAGAAGATTGATTCCTTTATACTCAGTGAGACAACTAAATGTTGCTGATATGTCTGTAACTGCTAAAATCATAACCATATCAACTTTATATTTAACAGATAATATTATTTTGGGTTCATATAAAGTACAGCTGAGTTGTTATATGTCAGATTTTTTTTTCCAAAATGAAAAAGAAATTTCTTGGTAACAAGAAAGATTTTCATTGTGATACTATAAAATTATCAAATTTTAAATTCTTCTGCAGATTACCATGAGAGTGTGTGTTTTTAAAGCAATTTTTTAACATTTAAACTTTATTTCGAGATAATTGTAATATCATCTGTTATAAGAAATAACAAAGAGATCCTTTTACCCAGTTTCCCGTAGTGGTAACATCTTGCAAAACTATAATACAGTATCACAACGAGGATATTAACATTGATGCAGTCTAGATACAGTCCATTTCTATCACCACAAACACCCCTCATACTACCCTTTTGTAGCCACACCCACTTCCCTTTTGCCCCTACCCTCTCTTTAATTTCTAACCACCATTAATCTGTTCTCCATTTCTATAATTTTGTCATTTCAAGAAAAGATATATGAGTGGAATCATACATTATGTAACCTTTTGGTTGACTTTTCTCAGCATAATTCTTTGGAGATTAATCCATGTTGTTTCACATAGCAGCAGTTCCTTCTTTTTTATTGCCGAATAATATTCCATATGGATATACCACAGCTTGGTTAACCATTTACCCATTGAAGGACTGGATTGTTTGCAGTTTTGCCTATTATGAATAAATATGCTATAGCATTGATGTACTAGTTATACTGTAACCGTAAATTTTCATTTAACTGGAATAAATACCCAGGAATGTAATTGCTAGAATGCATGGTAGATGTGTATTTAGTTTTTAAAGAAACTGTCAGATGTTTTCTGTAGTGGCTGTACCATTTTAGGTTTTCATCAGCAGTATATGACCAATCCCCTTTTTCTTGTGTTCTTACCATAATTTGGTGGTATCACTATTTTTTATTTTAGCGATTTGAATCAGTTTGCAGTAATATCTCATGATTTTAATTTGCCTTTCTCTAATGGCTAATGAAGTTGAACATGTCTTCATATGTTTATTTACCATCTGTATGCCCTCTTTGGTGAAATGTCTCTTCATGTCTTTGACCCATTTTCTAATTATGCTGTTTTTTTTCTCTTAAATTTTGAGAGTACTTTATATTCTAAATACTAGTCTTCTGTTGGATATGTGGTTGCTAAATATTTTCTCCCAGCCCGTAGCTTTGTCTTTCCATCCTCTTAACTGTGTATTTTGCAGAGGGAAAGTTTTTTGTTTTTTTTTAAATATATCTTTATTGATTTCAGAGAGAGGAAAGGAAAGGGAGAGAGAGATATGGAAACATCAATGATGAGAGAGTCATTGATCGGCTGCCCCCTGCACAACCCCCACTGGGGGTGGAGCCCGCAACCCAGGCATGTGCCCTGACCGGGAATCGAACCCCGATCCCCTGGATCACAGGTCGACGCTCAACCGCTGAGCCACGCCTGGCCGGGCTGCAGAGGGAAAGTTTTTAATTTTTATGTAATTCAGTTTATGTTTTTCTTTGGTGGTTCTTGCTTTTTGAGTTATAGCTAAGAAACCATTGCCTAGTCAAAGGCCATGAAGAATTATGCCAGTGTTTCTTCTAAGATTTTTATAGTTTAGGTCTTCCATTTAGGTTTTTGATCTATTTTGGATTAATTTTTGTATATGGAATGAGGCACAGGTTCAGATTCATTCTATTACATATGAATATCCAGTTGTTTCAGCACCATTTGTTGAAAAGACTATTCTTTGCCTATTGAATGGGCTTGGCACCCTTGTAGAGAGTCATTTGATCATAGCTGTGTATTTCTGGATTCCTAGTTTTATTGCATTGGTCTATACGTCTGTCCTTCTGCTAGTACCACAATCTTGGTTAATACAGTTTTGTAGTAGGGACTGTAGCAAAGTATTAGCCTTCCAACTTTAGATTGTTTTGTCTCTTCTGAGGCCCTTGTATTCCCATATTTATTTTAGGATCAGCTTGTTCATTTCTTCAAAAAAACAATTGGAGCCCTAGCTGATTTTGCTCAGTGGTTAGAACGTTAGCCTGCGGACTGAAGTTCCTGGGTTCGAATCTGGCCACGGGCACGTACCTTGGTGGCAGGCTCAATCCCTGGCCCTGGTTGGGGCACCTGCGGGAGGCTAATGGTGTTTCTTTCTCTTTCTCTCTCTTTCCCTTTCCTTTCCACTCTCTCTGGAAAGCAATAGAAAAAATATCCTCTGGTGAGGATTAAAAACACAATTGCGTTGAATCCGTAGATCAGTTGCCGGGTCTTGCTATTTTAATAATATGAAATTGTTTTGCAATCTAGGTCTATTTACTTAGGTCTTTCATTTTTTTCAGCATTGTCTTGTATATAAGTTTTTAGTGTCCAAGTCTTAAACTTCCGTTAGATTTATTCCTAAGCAGCTTGTTCTTTTTTTTTTTTTTTAATATATCTTTATTGATTTCAGAGAGAGGAAAGGAGAGGGAGAGAGAGAGATAGAAACATCAGTGATGAGAGAGTCATTGATCAGCTGCAGCTCGCACCCCGGGCATGTGCCCTGACTGGGAATCGAACCCCGATTGCCTGGATCCTAGGTTGACGCTCAATGGCTGAGCCACGCCCAGCCGGGCAGCTTGTTCTTTTTGATGTTTCGTAAATGGCATTGCTTTCTTAATTTCATTTTTGGGTTATTCATTGTTGATCTTGTATTTTCTACTTTGCTGAACTGTTTGTTAGCTTTTCTTTTTTTTTGAAAGAGATTGGGTAGAATTGGTGTTAATTTTCTTCAAGTGTTTGGTAGAACCGTGATGGAACAATGTGGGCCTGGAGATTTATTTTTCAGGAGTTTTAAAATTACAGATTCAACTTTCTTCATGGTTATGGGTACTGAAGCAGTCTATTTTATAGTTTGTTTGTGGACTTGGTCTGTTTATCTAGCCTGTCAATTTTGTGTGTGGGGTTGTCCTTAGTATTCATTTTATTCTTTTGTTATCTGTAGTATGTGTAGTGATACCTGTTCTGTTTCATTCCTGATGTTGGTAATTTGTGTCCTTTTATTTCCTTTGTCAGTCTTGCTAGAGGATTGTCAATTTTATTAATCTTACTGAGAACTAGCTCTTCATTTCATTGATTTTCTGTTATTTTCTTCTGTGTCTAATTTAATGAATTCCTACTCTCCCTTTTTCTGCTTGCTTTGGGTTTATTTTGCTCTTATTCTAGGTTCTTAAGATAGGGGAGCTTAGTTTTTATTTCAGACTTTTCTCTATTTTCTAACGTATACATTTAGGGCTATAAATTTCTCTCTTAGCGGTGCTTTCACTATGTCCTACAAATTTCATTATATTGTACTTTCATTTTCATTCTGTTCCTTGTATTTTTTTTTCATATAGTTCCCTTGAGAATTCTCTTGATCTTGAATTATTTAGGAGGATCTTGTTTAGTTTCCAGGTGTTAGGAAAATTTTCTGTTATCTTTCTGTTATTGATTATAGTTTAATTCCATTGTAGTGAGAGAACATTCTCATGTTATTTAAATTTTTAAAAATTTGTTGAGGTTTGCCTTAGACGTCTCAGGATGTGATCCCTCTTGGTATATGTTCCATGGACACTTGAGAAGAATGTGTATTCTGTTGTTGAGTGGAGTGTTCTATAGATATTGATGAGATCCAGTTGGTTAATGGTGGTGTTGCATTTTTCTATAATCTTGCTGTTTTTCTGTCTAGTTCTATCAGTTGTTGAGAAAAGAGTGTGAAGTTCTCAACTAAAATTGTGCATTTGTGTGTTTCCCCATTCAATTCTATCAGCTTTTGCTTTGCATATTTTATAGCTCTGTTTTTGGTGCATGCACATTTAGGATTGATTGCTTTGTCATCTTGGTGGAGTGAACCTTTCGTTATGCAATATTCCTCTCTGTCCCTGGTAGTTTTTTTTGCCCTGAAGTCTACTTTATCAGATTAATAGTGCTACTGCTGCTTTCCTTTTTGTTACTTTTTTCATAATATCTTTTTCAATTCTTTTACTTTAAAATTTCCCATACTGTTATATTTGAAGAGAGTTTCTTATAGACAGTATATAGTTGGATCATGTTTTTAATCCACTCTGTTAATCTCTTTTATACACAATAATTTACACTTATGTAATTATTGATGTTGTTTAAATCTACTTTATATTTTTTGTATTTTGTTTTTACCTTCTTGTGGGTTACTTGAACATTTTTTTTTGTTTTTCTTTGTCTTCAAAAAGATTTTTAAATTGATTTTTAGAGAGAGGAAGGGGGAAGGAGAGAGAGAGAAATAGCAACCTGCTGGCCTCCTGCATGCCCCCAACCCAGGATGGAGCTCACAACCCGGGCATGTGCCTTGACTGGGAATCGAACCAGCAACCTTTTGGTACATGGGATGATGCCCAACCAACTGAGCCACACCAGCTAGGGCTTGAACATTTTTTTAGAATTCTAGATTGATTTATGTATAATACATTTGAATGTATTTCTTTGTATAACTTTTTTTGTGGTTGTACGTATTACATTATATATAGTTGACCCTTGAACAATGTGGAGGTTAGGGATGTCGACCACCCACACAGTAAAAAAATGCATGTGTAACTTAAGTTGGTCCTCTGCACATACATTCCCAACCACCAGCTGACCGTGAACAGTGCTGGTTTGAACTGTGCAGATCAATTGAAAATAAAACCACCACTTGTAAGTGGACCTGCACAGTTCAGGTCTGTGTTGTTCAAGGGTCACCTGTATATAAAAAGGAATGGTTGGCCTAATTTTACTTTCTTGTTGTAGGATCCTTTGACTTGTTATTACTCTAGCTATATTTAAACTGCTTGCATTGTTTTCATTACCATTATAGTTTTCAAGCACTTTGTGCCCATATACCTAGATAAGTTAATTTTTTTGTATTGCACATAGAAATGGTTTGATGCAGGGAGTTCCCACTAAAGATCCTTGTCTAAAGTAGTAAACCATGCTTTTTTTAATATAGGTAAATATTTACTGAATTAAATATTTCAGTTTATTTGGGCCAAAGTGGAAGTGGCCATGGCTTAATAGATTTAATATTAGTTGCAGTAATTTAACTTTTGTTTTTTTGAGGCAGTTCTTTTTCTTTTTTTTAATTTATGTGGTTTTATAGTATTTTGGTAAAATAAAATTACAGAATTGGGTTTTCCTTTACTACCCTAGCGCACTGTGTATCTGTACTACTATATTCACTGGTATTCACTAGCTTTAGTGGTTTAACATTGATCCTATAATCAGAGGGTCTGTTATAATACATATAAGATTGTATATTGTTAAAATGTAGGGCCTTCGAGTTTCCAGTTTTATGTTAACTGTAGTTACATCATTTTAGTAATTTGTAAGGCAGACCAGATTTTGTCTTTGTTTTGCCTCAGCACTTTGCATTGTAGACAGTAAATATTTGTGGAAATGAATACAGGTATCCACCTCTTTCCAAAAGTTCTCCTTACGCCACGCTTTTATGAAAGACTTCCTATTTTAGCTAACTGAAAGAAATTTGAAGAGGAATTTTGCTTTTATGAAAAAAGTCATTACCATGCTAATGTATGTCTTTTGCTTTTTGTAAAAGTAAAGTGGCGGAATGTGAACTTTCTGGAAGCAGGATATTCTTCACTTTCTTTATGCCAGTTTGGCTTATGAAAGTTTTCATAGGAATGCTACTTTCAGATACTGGGGAAACATGTACTCTTTGAGAATGCAAGTTTTATTTCTGATATGGTTTAAAATAAAACATTTTTTCCTTTCAGAGTGACAAAAAGAGTAGTCCCCAAAAAGATGTTAAGTATGAACCCTTTTCTTTTGCTGATGGTAAGTGAAATCTTCATTTCAATTGAGGTTTTGTGNCATAGGAATGCTACTTTCAGATACTGGGGAAACATGTACTCTTTGAGAATGCAAGTTTTATTTCTGATATGGTTTAAAATAAAACATTTTTTCCTTTCAGAGTGACAAAAAGAGTAGTCCCCAAAAAGATGTTAAGTATGAACCCTTTTCTTTTGCTGATGGTAAGTGAAATCTTCATTTCAATTGAGGATTTGTGTGTGTGTGTGTGTGTGTGTGTGTGTAAGGTAAAATTAGTCTTGCCACACACCTGTTTTTTAGATACGATGTTTTAAATAAAGATCAGGTTTCTTGAAGTATAATTTATCTCAATATGATGTACAGTAAAAATCACTTTTTAGCATATAGTTCTATGAATTATACCATACTTCTTAAAACATCTTTCATGAAGTCTTAACTTTGATTAGACAGTAGGATCTTACTGGACTCTAATAATATAGTGTGTGTCTAGGCCAAACTTCAAAAACATTGTTGTTACTTGGTTTTAAAAAGCACATGTCTGTTTATTTGTCTAATATTATTGGTTTTATATCTTTCCTTAGACATTGGCTCCAATAATTGTGGATACTATGATTTACAAGCAGTGTTAACACATCAGGGAAGGTCTAGCTCTTCAGGTCATTATGTATCATGGGTGAAAAGGAAACAAGGTAAAGATTCTTTTTTTTCCCTTCCCCAGTTGTCACATACTATTTTAACAGTTTGTTTAATATAAATTTAATTGCATAGTGGTTCTCAAACTTTTCAGTCTCAGAACCCCTTTACACTCTTAATTATTGAGGACCTTCCCAAAGAGCTTTTGTTTATGAAGATATTTCTTATTTACTATAATAGAAATTAAAACTGAGAAGTAAATTAATTTATTCAAAACTGACAGTAATAAACCGATTAAATAACATTTTAAAAATAAATATTTTCCAAAAACAAAAAAAATTAGCAAGAAATGGCATTTAGATTTTTATAAGTCCAGCTTAATCGGAGACAGCTAGATTCTCCTAGTTGTTTCTCCATTTTGTCCGTTGCTTTATTACACATCATGTAGCCACTGGAAAAATTCCAAAGCACACTTGAGAATGAGAGGGAAAGGTATTTAATGCTTTAGTGGTGTTATGAGAACATTTGTAACCTCTTGGAATTCATGAAATGGTCTTGAACCTGGAGAAGTCCCTGGATCATGCTTTGAGAACTGTTGATATGGTAGATGGAATACTGCTGTGCATAAAATTAGTACCTTTTTTGAAATGGAACTCTGAAAAAATCATGTACGATTTTAATTTCATTTTCTTTTCTCACTTTAGATGAATGGATTAAGTTTGATGATGATAAGGTCAGCATTGTGACACCAGAAGATATCTTGCGGCTTTCTGGTGGTGGAGACTGGCACATAGCTTATGTTTTACTCTATGGGCCTCGCAGAGTTGAAATAATGGAAGAGGAAAGTGAACAGTAATCTTCATTTTAGCTATTTATGCTTAGGTGTGAAATAAATGTTATTTGTTGATCATTTCTATAATCCAGAGCTTTAGAGGAAGATACATAAGTGGTTTTGTTTCCCCTCATACGGAACAAAGGGCAAAAGCAGACCACTCTATCAACCTAAAAAATTACAGAAAAGAGAAAATTGCCTTTGGACTGTGCTGCCCTGTATAAAGGTGGCAGGAAGACATTTTTTAAAAGCTTATTTCTTGCTTTAATTTTTAAAAATTCTGAGTTGAAATGCCTTTCAACCATTAACTTCTGTGATAATTTTCCCTGCCTTTTTCAGATTCAGCAATGAAATGTTTATTGCACACCTATTACTCTGTTATTTGTTGTTATTGCATGGTTCAAACCACAGGTAATTCAGTAGCTGTTCATCCTTTGCCTTATCTAACGAATTTTGCCAGGAAGGTGGAAAGGAAGTAAAGGTTGCTCTCATTGTGCTCTCAGTGCTGCTGTCCATACACCATGGAAACATGGATACAATCAAGTATTTGTCCAGCCTGATTGTTGCTGGCTTTTCATGACTAAAATAAATTGTGATCAATAGTACATTCGAATATACATTTATTACTGTGTCTCTGATGTACTATGGTTTGTACATTTAACTTTGCAATGGTTTTATAGTAATCAACCTAAAAAAGATGTTGATAGGCTCTGGTTGCTTATTTTTAGAAGATGGGAATATTTAATAAAAAAAGAAAAAGAGGGATTAACAGTTTTTGACCTCAAGTCTTTTGTCTGTTGAGTTGGCTGAAGTTCCAATGTTAATTCTGCTGGTTAGTTTTACTCTGCTGTTAAGCATCCATTTAAAAACATTTATCTTCTTTGCCTGCTAGCATTATATTGTTTAAAAAGAAATACAAAGTTGTAAGAGCAATGGAATTCTTCGGATGCCAAATGCAGTGGTTATCAGTCAGATCTGTTCCGTGGCTCAGTTCTTTGTTTTTACACTCCTGTCAAGTCCCAAAAATCTTTGTCTATTTCAGTTTAAGATAAATGATTTTTCAAGTGGTGGTAGAAATACCAAGAGTATCAGGTATTTCAGTATGGTAGGTTTAATATGTATTCTAATTAGTTCCGTTTTTTTTTTTTGTTTTTTTTTTGAGACTTGATTGTTAGAGAAAGGACAGAATATTATCTAATTTGTCTCTGATTTTGAGTTGGGTATTTATAATTAAGTTTTGGGTAATATCGTGAAATCTGGTCTTTGCTTATGCTTGTTTTAATGCTCTGCAGAGCACAGCACTGGTTAACAGATTCCAGAGAATAATGGCCATTTTTGAGTTTGAGCAGTGTGATACAATCTGAGAACACCAGGGGATATAAAATAAGTATTTCAGGGAAACTTATTTGTAAATAGCTTCTTCAGCTAATCTTTAATTATTGGCAATCGGTACTCCCTTTGCTTTGAAGGAGGGTGCAGAATAGAGTGGGGAAAATGAGACTATAAGAATTGTGATGTTTCTTTTATATATTGGTATGCTTGTAATTCTGCAGGTTTTAATTTTTTTTATTCACTGTCTTACTTGTCCTGAACAATTTTGAGGACATAATTTAGCAATTAAAATTTAGATTTTCTGATTTGCAGGGTGCTGTAGCTACTGGAGATCAAGTGAGGTAGGTTTAGAACAAAGTATATAATAAGCCTTGTATGAAATTAGAATTTTAAAATTGTAATTCCTTGTCATCATTATAAAAAATTTGATTTCATTTTATTTGACCCAAAAAAGCATTATTCCAAAGATATTTTAAGAAATTGGACTTATACCAGTGTTGTTTTAAACTAATAAGGTTATTTTAGAATTCAGCCTTGCATATAAGGTCTTTGAGTAGGCAAGAAAATGTCTGGACTCCTGGGTGTGCCTTCTGTGCTGTGCTACTAGCACTGAGGCCCTTTCATCAGAGCTGTGCTGTATACTGCTGGACTAGCTAGTGAAGTTAAGCACAAGCAAGAGCATTTATGGTGTAATACTCATTTAGTAGCTGTTCTTCACGATTCAAAACAATGATAACCTAGACTCCTGAAGGGTAGTGCTTAGTGGGATGGTTCTATCTCCAACCATTACTACCTAGTGCTTTGCTGTTTTATAGGGTTTTTTCACAGACATCTCATTTGAACTTCACAATAATCTCTGGGATATGCATCCCTATTTTAACAACTTGAGAGGGGAAATAATTTTTGTAAGGCTAAAAGAACCAGGTTTTAGGCTTCATTCCATTTCTTTAAAAGTTGGGGTTCAGCAAACATTTTCTGTAGTGGGCCAGATAGTAAATATTTTAAGCTTTGCAGACCATAACATCTTTGTTGCAACTCTTTAACTTTGCTGCTGTAGCAGGAAAGAAGCCATAGACAATACCTAAAAAAATCAGCATGGCTATGTGCCAATTAAATTTTACTTATAAAACCAAGTGGTGAATGGACCATTATTTGCTGTTCCTCTGCTTTAAAGCACGAATGAGACTAGAGCAGTCATATGGATTCAGAAAGTCTTATTCTGGGATTTTCAGAATAGCAAGTTAAATTTTATAACTACTAACAGCATGCAGAAACTAATTTGGCATAGTGTGTTTTAGGAAACACCATGCCCCTAAATATCACTTATTGACTTCATTATGAATACATTTAATTTAATAAGAATATATTGTGACTTTGAGGTCACTTTACTTTGACCATTTTCCCAACCTACTCCTCCCAAACTCTGAGGTCAGTTATCAAGAGCCAGTATGTGTTCTGTTCTTGGAATACCAGCCAACTGTACAACAACTGTTATAAAAATGTTTATTGTTTACCAAAACCAGTGGACCTCTTATCAAATGCTGCTTGGTAACAAAATTTTATCACAGTTTTAATAAAAAAAAAAAAAAATAAGCTAACTATTTGTCTCATTGTCATTAGTTAGACTTTCTGCAAGGTCACTTAATCCAGACTTATTCAGTGCATTAATCAGATTCTCGGGCGTTGCATGTACTCCCTCTTGATCTTGCCAGGCAACTAGTAGCTGCCTAGCTCTCATTTTCATGTCTTCACTGTCACATTCAATCTGTCTAATTTCCGACTCTTTCATTTCCAAGTAGGGAGCCAGAGTCTTCCATTGTTCACCCAATTTGTTGGCAAATATCTCTATTTGTTCCCCTGTTACAGGTTTGTCTCGCCGAACATCAGGGCCTAGAAAACACAGGAAATGTAAATTATGTACAAAGTACAAAGACACATACAATTCTAAGTATATAACAGAAATGAGAAGCTAGGCAGCCACTGCGATATTAATCCCCTTTAATAAGCTTTATTTTAAAAGTAAAACAATTCCTTTTTATATTTTTCCATGGATTGAATACTGTTCTTACGGTCACGATCATTAGGAAATCAATTTTAAGTTGCTGTCAAGCAATACCTCAAATTCTTCACTAAAAGAAACAGCTGAGATACATGGTAGACGTTGAGAAGTAGATCAAATTAAATAACATACCTCTCAACAAAGAACCACAATCTTTTCCAATTTTGTAAAATAGCCAAGAAAATTCAATTCTTACTTTCATTTTCCTTCAGTAAAGCATCATTATCTTCCTCATCTTCATCCTCACCTGTTTTTATTTCTTCAGAAGGAGGCTAAAGTGAGTAAGAAGAATGTTTAAAAGAATGCCAACTTCTAAAATAACTGGGGATTCATGTGATTGTGACATTCCAAGTACAGGGCCCACAACTTTAACCCCAAGACTGTTAAATGTGAATGCCAGGTAAGTGACAGATAGGACAGTGTTAACCTGGAGCAGGAGTGGGCGGGGAGACCTGAAAGTTGGAAAGACTCCCCTTGGCCCTCCAACCTGGGAAGAAGGGAGCCAGTAAAAAGGATGTTAAGATGATTTTCAAGTACCTAGCAAATAGTAACAATAGCAACAATGGTCTAGGGAAGACAGGTTGGGCAAGTGTGTCCTTAAAATTTTTTGAGTGATTTTATTAGGTTTTATGCGCACAGTTAGTACCGTATTGCAGTAATACAATGAGAAAATTGTACTGGAAAAGAGAGCAGAGTAGAAAGGCCAAATTGCCTACTGCTACCCTGTCTTGGATAAAAGACAATATAATGCACCAGTAAACAGGAAAAACGATAATAGTTCATCTAGAAGTATTTATAGAGTTACATTAAATTACATGGTGTAAAAATTATTAAATTTAGCTTATCAGTTTATGTACTTCCTATGAAATGTATTGTCAAAAGCATTTTTCCTCATTCTTAAACATGGGAATTTGTGTTGTTGTTTTTCACCTGATAAACTCTAAATTCAGCTCTGCTCAAATAATGATAGCAGCTTTAAAGATAACATCAACTAAAGGAAATGAAAAAATTGATCTATAATACTTACTGGTAATTCCTTGGCTAGCTTTATTACCATGTTTTCAAGATACTCTGGCAGACTTTTGAACTGCTGGTTGGTTGGCTGGAAGAAGTGAGGGCTTCTCCGAGCCAAGAGTCTCAGGGCTCTCCAGCCGTAATTGGAATTGTTCACAGCCCTGTAAAAAGAGATGCCAGTCCTTACAAGTTCTTTATTTCTATGTTCCCTTCTAGTTAATGTAACTTACCATATGGAATTCTATACTCTCAAGTAGCTGGAGGCACCGTTCTTCTCATTCTGGTTATATTCCCAAAGAACCTCAGTGTACAGTTCACTTATAACAGGAACCAACAGAGCCTGAAGAGGCAGGTTTACATGTTTTTATTGCCCAGCAAGCGTGGCTCAGCGGTTGAGCAACGACCTAGAATTCAGGAGATTGTGGTTCGATTCCCAGTCAGGGTACATGCCTGGGTTTTGGGCTCGATCCCCAGTCGGGGTGTGCAGGAGGCAGCCGATCAATAATGACCCTCTCATCACTGATGTTTCTACCTCTCTCTCTGAAATCAATAAAGATATACTTCAATAAAAACACACACACACATGTATATGTATATGTGTATATGTGTGTGTATATGTGTGTATATATATATTAGAGAGGAGGGGAGAGGAAGAGAGAAACACCGATGAGGGAGAAATATGAACAGCAATTGGCTGCTTCCTGCACACCACCCACTGGAGATCGAGCCCACAACCTGGGCATGTGCCCTGACCAGAATCAAATGGGTGATCTCTTGGTGCACAGGCTGACGCTCAACCACTAAGCCACATCAGCCGGGCTGCAGCAAGCACATTTTAAAAGTTTATATGCATTTTACTTAATTTTAAAAAGTCAATTAGTATGTGTCCAGTACTGCCTAGATGTTGGATATGCAGGACAAATAATCTTATTTAGGGGGAGAAAAAAAAAAGAATTCATAATAGGTTCACCATGTTTTAGTGAGTTGATATCCATACTGGCAATGTCACTAACAGGTGCGAGTTCCAGAATACATAAGTTCAACACTGAGTTCCAATCATGCTAATTTAATCAATATTTGGCTTCCTATTTACCTAATGCCTAAATTTTAATTTGCTCAGTACCAACCTGAAGGAATAAAAAATGGCTCCAAAACTAAAAGGGAAATATCCAATAGCCAACAGAGTAAGCAGTGATGCCAAGAATAGAACCCATGCACTGTTCCCTAAGGAAGCAAAGCGATAATAGGTGGTTCCCAGTAAGATGAGAAATGGAAACCTCAGGGAAATTGGAAAGACACTGTTCCTGAAACGGGCAAGCTGCAGAAGCATCCAGAGCACTTTTTTTTTTTTCCCATTGATGAGTTTTTGCAAGTCATTTGGAAATACCTCCTTTCCCCAAGTTGTTAGAGTAGCAACCTGGTTTACTTGGAACCTCCATTACCTTTGAGACATGCTGGCACCTGCAAAACTACCCCTAGACTGTGGGGACCCTTACCAAGTAAACACCAGGCCATGAGGCTTTGCTGAAATAGTTACAAGCCTTTCTGACACATTTCTGTTTAAACAAATTTGAATCTTTTACGCATTTTATTCCCTGTCAGTTACAAAAATTTTCTTATTCTCCAGAGATCCATACCATCCAAGTTTTTAAACTAATCTTACAGGGCTATCACTTCAAAGAAAAATCTACCTAGTCTTAACCTAACAATAGTAAATAAACATTCATTCAACAAGTACTTGTTGAGCTGGGCACTCAGGAGTCGTGGAGATCGTAAGTTCACCCTGAGCACTCGAGGCACTACAACACTGCAGTTCAGGGCCCCTGAGGCCAATGTGATTTTCCTGGCTCTGCCATTTACTAGCTGAGACAAGAACAGTTTCTACCTTACAGTTACAAAAGGTAAGTGCTTAGGAAGTAATGGCATAGTAAATGTAGACTCTGTTGGGAAGCATCATTATTGACAAACACAAGGTATAAGACAATTTCAGATAGTGGTAAGGATGAGAAAAACATGAGAAATGAGAGTTTCAGATAGTGGTAATGATGAGAAAAACATGAGAAATGAGAGTTTCAGATGGTGGTATGTGGCTATGAAATAAATACAACAGGGCTGCCTTACAAAGGGAAAGGGGAGGAGCCTGGTCAAGGAAAACTGCTCAGTATTTAAGATGAGAGCTGAAGTGAGAGGGCAAGCCCTGGGATTGCCATGAGGGAAGTTTCAAGCAAAGGAACAGCAAGTACAAAGGTCCTGAGGTGGAAGTACCTTTTGAGAGGAAAAGAAACAGGGCTGGTATGGCTAGAGCAGAGAAAATAAAGAGATGTAATTGGAGAGGTAGGTAGATGCCAATCAGACCTCAGTAAGGGGGTAGGATTTCATCTTAATAGGCAGTGATGGAGATTTTAAGCAAGAGATCTGACTTGTGAATTTAAAGATCACTGGCTAATGCATGGAAAATTGACCAGAACTGGTCACAGCACTCTTCACATGTCATGCATGGTTCAAAGTAAATCATTTTAATCCTCAGAACAGCCCTGTGAAATGGGTACTATTCCTATTTAATAGATGAGGAAACAAGCAGAGGGGTTAAATTAGTCCTAGTTAGCCTAGCCAGTTAAGTGGCAGAGTCTGGGACTGGACCCTAAGCAGTCTGACAAGAGGGCCCTCGCCCTTAATACCGTAAGGCTATTCAAAACCATGGCGCTGTGTGGTCTCACCTAAAGATTTAGTTGAAGAACCTGAGACTGGGTCCTGAAGTTACTCTAAAATTTTAGTTACGCAGAGGACTCGGGTGCCAGTAATGGAGACTGAGAAGCAGACGAAAGGGGCAACAGTGGGAGCTGTAGTTTGATGGATGTCAAGAAAAGAAAATGTTATCTAATGAGGGAGAGATTAACTGGGAAATGCTGCTGAGAGGTTAAAAAAAAGTGACCTTGATAAGAGCTATTTGACAGAGACAGCCCTGCAGTAATGGGCTGAGGACAACGGGAGGTGAGGAAATGAAGGCAGCAATTCTCAACTGTTGGGAGATACAGGCACACCTCGAAGATACTGTGGGTTTGGTCCCAGGCCACTGCAATAAAGTGAGTATTGCAATAAAGTGAGTTGTAATTTTTTTGCTGGTATAGGGTTTTGCCTTCAATTTGTAAAAAACCTGATATTTGTAAAGTGTAATAGAAGTGCAATAAAACGAGGTATGCCTACTGTGATTTAAAGGGGAACAGAGAAAATAGGTGATGGAGAGAGATGTGGGCTTAAGGGGGGAGGGTTTATTTTTTGAAACAAGCCTGATTGTAAGTCATGCTTGTTAAGTCTGTGGGAATGTTCCCTGAAATCAGATGTGTAATAATGTGAACTTCGGACATAAACTCACCTAAGAGGAAAAGTACCCCTCTATCAACTGTCTCTCTTTTATTGTTGAAATCTTTTTTTAAAATTACTTATTTAATTTTTGTTTAAAATATTACAGATGTCCCTTTTTCTCCCCAATGACCAGTTCCACCCTGTCTCACCCCCCTCCCCAGT